GTAAGTTATAGGTCAAGTATTTTTAATCATTATTGATCCTTTGTATACATATATGTTTGAAGTTTTTGATGTTTTTATTGAGTTATTCATGCAGTTTACTTATAGTATACATAATGTTAACCAATGTTTACAGATTGCCATTTTACAACTTTTTTTTCTGATTTACTTTTTTATGACTTTTTTTATTGAAAAATTTTAAAACACTACCAATAATATAATTAATAGTACCAACCCTTACCATTTTCAAAAAGATTTTGTTTAAAGAAAAATATTTTAACATGTTTTTTCTGTTTATGAAAATTTATTACTGGGATTTATTTTGTTGTCATAAAAGATTCTTAATTAATAGGTTCTTTATACAGTAGACCCCCCTTTAACACAGCTTCCTATAGTTCGGATTCCTATATCACGGTGAAAAAATTGTGACAGTATTCATACAAACATGCTAAAAAAACTCCTATAATTCAGTAAAACGTCATTGCCGACCCGTGTTGTGACAGGATTGGTCGAATCTAGACGAACAGCAGATATTGTACAAACTGTTGAGTTTAAACAAGCAGTGGACCTACTAAAAATCATTTATTATTTAACATCCATAAAAATTATATTAATGATGTCTCCAAAGTTCAGCGAATTTTTTGAAAAAAAATAATTTATCAGGAAGCACACGAACGCCATTCGATGACAAGCTCCACGACGAAAACAAGCTTAAGCAATGTCGTCATCGAATAATACACATTCGGTAAGTAATCCTACAATTTCTTGTCTATAGCATAGTTTATATGGATTATTCCCAAAAAATTATATGTATTTTGGAAATGTTGAGTCAAATTAGTCTAGAATCGATTAATTTTATGGAAGAAACCTTTCAAACAGCCATAGTCCGTAAACTACATACGTGCCGGGTTATTATTGGCTGGACTTGTAGAAAATGGATTCATAAAAACCAGAATGTATCTACTATGTTACGGGGGGGCGACTGTATAATGTTTTCTTTAAAATATAGTTCACTTCACGCCAGCCTTTAGAAATTAAAATTATGACACTTACGTGTTGCGGCGTTATTGACAGCGATTTGTTAAATTTCAGATATGTTCGCTAGTACTTTCAACAGTTTACGACTGTCGTCTTCAGGCGAAATCGAATACCTTTGTTTTCGAATTNATTCTCCTCAACTAAAATTAATAGGACTTACCCCCTGTACATCATACTTTTCCTTTAACAATAGAGTCATGCCAGTCACCTATCTAACATCTTTCAGGGGGAAATTTTTGAATTGAAATAACATGACTTCCAGTTTGCATCAGAAGTTCATATATAGTTAATCGGGGCCTCCTGTTCCTAAGGTTTCCTTATCTGGTCTCATTTTTTCATCTGACACCGTTCTTGAGATTAAGGAAAGATGGACGAACAGACAACAGTGGGAATTTATAGTTACAGTCTACAGTTTTTTCAAATTGTAGCCCAATAAAATTCTCAATTATGCTTTGCATTTTAATAGTTAGGTCATGTATTTTCATAGATATTTTATGTTTAAAACAGTCTTGTCTTAAATTAAATTTTAACTGATTTTTGTTTTCTTTTTGCAGATTTTAGAATTGTTAGAAACCTTTAGAATTGGCAACCTTTCTCAAGAAGATAGGAAAGAATTATCCAGTGATGTTTATGCTAATGAACCTAATCGACATCCTGCTCTAAAAGTTTGCAGTAATAAGCCATTTAATGCAGAAACTCCATTAGAATTATTAACTGAAAAATTCATTACACCAAGGTATAGATTTTGATTTTTAAAGATTCTCATTTTGTTTTAATTTTTTAAAAAGTTATGTTAGAAATTGAAATGTGAATTCTTAATTTCCTCTATTTCTAAACAATTCAGTTATATTAAATTTATATTTACATTGTATATAATAAAACTCTTAAGTAAAATATGTTTACACGAAGTAATGGTCATATATATTATAATTGAAAGTTTATTAAAACAAAATTGGATTTTTGGGAAATGGCATCAACTTTTTTAACTAGAAACTATTACTACATTTGCTGTTCTACTGACTAATTCAGTGTTTTTCAATCTTTCTAATAGTAATTGGCACTCCCAATTTGGTAAATTTTTCTTATGGTACCCTTACTTTTTTATCAATGTAGAGTTATTGCACTTTTTATATTTTTACTAATACATATAAAAAATGTTATGGCACTGCTCAGCACTATTTTGTGACATTGTTAAGTGCTGTTGCAGCATCTTAGTTGAAACAAGTGGATTAATGGATTGCTAACATTTTATAATACAAAAATTGTTACTAATCTAGATTAAAAAGTATTTAAATTTAATAAACTATTGAAATTCAAATTTTTATGCTGCATTATACAATATTCTACTAGTAGTGTATATAGAATTTTATAAAATACGGTGAGTGATCGGTTAACAAACATAATCCGTTCCAAGACTTTGTTCGCTATCCGAATTGTTCGTTAACCAATTATCAATTTACCGTAGGTTTGTATGGGAATTTGATTAATTCGTTCTGGAGACCCCAAAAATTAAAAGAATATATACTGGTACTTTCTTGCTACATTTATTTATATGCAATAATAAAAATACATACATACACAGTCTTGCATTTTTATTAGTCATGTTTTTTCCGTTTGAAAGGGTTAAAGAATCTGTTTAATGTCAATTGCTTTTCTCTCTTCTTCAGGATTTTTCG